AAGCTTTCAAGCTCTGCAACTGTTTTCGTTCCTCTCCTCCGATGAAGCTTACGTCATTCTGTCATTTTCGCATCCATCGTCAGACTTCGACAATTCTTATTCCGGCTTCCCTCTTTCTGGTAAGCCACTGTTCCTCCTGGTTTTATTTCTTGTTGCTTTCCAAGAAGCTCTGCTTCATTGTTAATCACCATTGCTGTTTTATCCGTTGTTTCCAAATTATCTTCTTGAATACACACTGTTCACACATCTGTTGATTTCTGCCACTGTTCTTGGCTTGACACACCTGTGCAATCTTTTTGTCTTGATTTCCTGATAGCTTCATCACCATTCTTGATTACAAATTACATTCTTGTTTCTGTTTCCTGTGTCTTTTTCCAGATTCTTGCTTTCAATCCTTGCCTTCAAACTCCGAGGTGCCAATCGCCGATAAGAGCTTTGATCAAACTCTCTGGGAGATCGATGCTGAGCTCGAGGCTGAGAAGGCTGCTGAGAAGTCTTCCCAACTGTCTTCTATATCTTGCCATTGATGTCGAGTAGTTTTTGTTTCCTTCTTTTACTCCTTATACCTTGTATCTTGTGCTTTGTCCTTCTCTGTATGTTTTTAATCCGGTCGACGTGCCATTTTTTGTAGTCTGAATAATTTATTTTTCAATATTCAGGCCGAAGTGCCTTCTTTCTTCTTTAAATGCATTTCTCTAATTTCTTCTTTTGAATGAATGTCTTCTTTTTTTTGCTCTTGTATGATTCTACACTTAGAATAATTTGCATGCCTTCAAAGTATACATTGACTGTGCAATCTTTTCGGGTAAAATACCTTTGTCATAACTTCTAATCTTACTCATCTCGGCCTTGTCCTAACACTTGAAAATATTGTAACAAATATTTTCACAAGTGTTGTTTAGGACTTGTCACTTTTTCAATGTCTTCTATCAAGACTTTAGTTTTTCATATTTCAAGTTTTGACAACATGGTAGTCTCGGAAAGTACGCAGATATTGCTTGAGCTTGACTTTAACTTGTAAATTTTTCTCAGAAATTTCAACAAGTGTTTTAACCATCATCCTTTATCATAACCTCGGCTTAACTTCAGCTTGTAAATTTTTCTTAAAAATTTCAACAAGTGTTCGATTTAACTTCAACTTGTAAATTCACATAGAATTTCAACAAGTGTTAAACATCATCTCGATTTAACTTCAACTTGTAAATTCACACAGAATTTCAACAAGTGTTAAATATGACATCGGTTTAACTTCAACTTGTAAATTCACACAGAATTTCAACAAGTGTTAAATATCACATCGGTTTAACTTCAACTTGTAAATTCACACAGAATTTCAACAAGTGTTAAACAATGATTTCGGTTTAACTTCAACTTGTAAATTGTCCACAAATTTCAACAAGTGTTAAACAATGGTCTTGGTTTAACTTCAACTTGTAAATTGTCCACAAATTTCAACAAATGTTAAACAATGATTTCGGTTTAATTTCAACTTGTAAATTGTCCATAAATTTCAACAAGTGTTAAACAATGATCTCGGTTTAATTTCAACTTGTAAATTGTCCACAAATTTCAACAAGTGTTAAACAATGATTTCGGTTTAACTTAAACTTGTAAATTGTCCACAAATTTCAACAAGTGTTAAACAATGCTCTCAGTCTCTTGTTTGTTGGAATCTGGGATCTGCTTACTTTAGGCTGAGCTCTTCTCTTCTCAGACCTAATCATTTAGGTCGAGATCTTGTCTTCTGGAATCTGGAATTTGCTCTCTCAGGTTGAGCTCTTCTCTTCTCGGACCTACTCATCTAGGTCGAGATCATGCCTTCTGGGATCCGGGATCTGCTCACTTAGGTTGAGCTCTTGTCTTCTCGGACCTACTCATCTAGGCCGAGATCATGCCTTCTGGGATCCAGGATCCGGGATCTGGAATCGAGGATCTGCTTACTTAGGCTGAGCTCTTGTCTTCTTGGACCTACTTATTTAGGTCGAGATCTTGTCTTTTAGGATCCGGGATCCAGGATCTGGAATCCGGGATCTGCTTACTTAGGCTGAGCTCTTCTATACTTGAATGTCATCTCCTTGGGAGCACTCATGCCCCCTGTCTTTGCGTCCCTTCTGGAAGGGTCTTCACTCCGTTTATGTCGACACATTCTCCATCTTTGCTAAACTCGTCGTTTGTACAGTGATGGCCATCTATTTTTCTTTCTTTTCCACAGACGGCGCCAAATTGTGTGAGTGATTTTTTGACCACACTGCCCGCTTAGTAACCAGCTGGAGAGCACCGGCAGAATAGATGACACCTGGCTGACCTGCAACAGAAAGAGAAGATTCCGGCGGTGGTTCGTCCACCCAGGGGTACTCCGACGATCAAGTCAGTATATCTCTCAAAGATAAATCAAGTGCTAAACTCACAAGCTTGAGTATCAAAAGCATACCTTAAACCCATGGGGGTGCCTCTCTTTTATAGCCAACTTAATCCTAGTCCCAATGGAAGCCTAACTCCAATGGACTCAGAATTTCTGCTAATCTTGGACTCCCAATAGGATCAGGATAAGCTCTCTAAGAGTCTCATCTTTACCCAAACTGAAGTCTCCTCCCATTCTAGGACTCTTATTTTTTATCCGCTTATCTCGGATTCCGATATCTTCGGAGGTAACCTCGGCCTAACCGAGATGACCTCGGCATAACGACCAGGATACGTGGCATCTCGGCTGACACGTCGACGTCACCTTACCACGTGTTGGTACTCAGAAAATATATCCCCACAGTACACATAGAATTTCCAATGAAATATTGATTACCAAAGGTTAGGTTTATGCAATCGCAATAAAACAATATACATATTTAGAATTTTTCGTTCTTTTAAATTTACTCATAAAAATCAATGAGCAATTTAAATACATTCAAGATGTGGACCTTACAATACAAGTCAAGTATAAATCACATTTTACTTTTCTAAATACAAAGCCTGTATCATAATAAAACGGAAAAAAAACAAAAAAACAAAACAGCACTATAAGGACTATTTTTGTAATTAGATTAAAAGTTAGTTTTGTGGTTTTTTTTTTTTTTTTTTGATTGACTTTTTTGAGTCACATCATTATTCTATTTTTATGTATATTTTTTTTAAAAAATTTAAAAATTAACTTTTGACCTACTTTTCATTTATTTCGATGAATCAAAAGAAAAAAAGGAGGAGGAGGTAATGAGTTAGAATCATCAGCCGGAGCTTTGACCCCCTTTATTCTTTCATATAAATTTTGTTATTGAAAAATGCTTGGTAGCTTGAATTTGTGTGACACAAATGATTTGAATGTATCAAAACGACGTTATTTTGAGATATTCGAGCCATTCAGGCTACCAAGCATTGTTGTTTGTTATCAGGCGAAGAAATTACAAGGAGAACTAAAGTTGTGTTTGGAAATTGAATTTCTAGTATTTAATAATTCTATACAAAAAAAATGTGTAAAAAAAAAAAATTATTTTACATTTTGTAATACTTTCTCAATTTTTTATTTTTTATTTTTTTGATTTGTTCCCAAACACCACCTAACAAAATTAACAAATTATTTGCATTTGCACCTTTCAGGCATTCTTGTTCCCACTGAAATGAAAAAATCTTGTTGGTGTTAACCATAAAGAGCTTTGTTGATTAAATGCGGATGTGTCAGAATTTGTGTACCTAGTTTAAGATGGAGGAATTGTTAATTATTTTTGACTTTAAACACAGAGAAATGATTGTGTGTGGCTAAGAGGAACTGTCACTAGTTCAGATCTTACCCCAATAAAGAGGACTCTTAACAAATTTATAGGTGTCGAATGATAATTAGACAAAAATTGTAACTTGCATTGATTGGAAATTAAGTATAATTGATAATCTAAGAGAACTTAGCTAAGAAGTTAGACTAAGTTATAGTTATGAAGCTATGATAAGTAAGCTATGAAAATTAAGCTATGAAGCTAAAATAGATAAGCTTTGAAGCTAAGATAAATTGGAAGACATGTATGAAAAGACCCTTAGTTGAGTGTTTGGTTGAGGACCTCTTCAATATTGCACTTGGAGTCCTTTATATAGTCTTGGAGAAGTCTCTAATTCTGCTCAACTACTAGAAACGTGTCAGCTCTTTGTGGTGACATGTGTCCTTGATTCTAAGCCTGATCCCCCAAGAATAGGTATGGTTTTGATCTTCAAAAGCTAATAATGCTTATCCTTGTAGTTTTGACCTGGTCCATCAAGCTCTAGAAAGCCGCCACATATCCTTTTTTATTTGAATTTGATTTTATTCGGCTTGATTTGAGGGAAAAAGCTCATTTGGATTGATTCTCAAGCCTCTTCATTTGCCATGTGTTCTTATCTATACAAATTCTTAGTCTTGCTTGATTTGGGGAATTCGGTCCCTATTTTGTAGCCTTATTGTTGATTTTACCAAATCTTCAACCCCATGTAATCTTTATTCATAGCAGCCATTTACCAACAAATTAAGAGATAAGACACCAAAATAAAAAATAAGCCTCAATAACCTTCTATTTATTAAGAATGATTAAGGCTTGCCTTATCAAATCAAATCAAACTAAATTAGTAATTAATTAATTAACCTAATGACTTGGCTAATTTAGTTAATTAAAATAAATCAATTTCAGCCGCCACTCCATTAACCTTGGTTGGGGGGGGGGGGCATAAAATCTTTGACTCCCTATCTTTCATTGCCATGTGGTACAAATAATTGAGAAAATTGCCATGCCACAATTTTTGCCAAAAATGATACAAACACTAATGGAAAGTTCTTCGGTATGCAACCCTTTAATATACAATAGATATGCAAATTTACATAAATTCTTATAAAAATACATACTTTTCTTGTAAAGCTGGCGTAATTTAAATACAAATCCGCATAAGTTGATCTATAAAAATTTAAGAAATCACAACTTAGCCTACAAATTAATTCATAAAAATTTGAAAAATCACAATTTAGTATAAGTTCTTACAAACATATGTAAGTCACCTTACAAAATCGTGTAACTTATTTGCGTAAGTTAACTCATAAAAATGTGTCGTAAGTTATTACAAAAATGTATAACTTAAGTCACAAAAATACATAAGTAAATGACATACCATATACTTACTCAAGAATTATCCCTAACTTTTTGATAAGCTCCTGAGGAAAGATGAGCTCTTTGTGAGTTCGCGAAGGGGTCTATCAGTAAATCTGATCAAGTTATATGTAAACCCACCAGCTATGGTTCCGCATGGTGGGCCAATTATATAGACCCACAGTCCCTTGTAAACATGATTAACAATGGCTGGTCCAATACTTCTGGCTGGGTTCATTGATGCTCCTGAAATTGGTCTGCAATTCAAAATCATCAATGGTTTCACATTTATTAGGTACCACATGAATAGCAATACATACTAAATTATTTTTGACACTTTCACTCTGTTTGTTTCGTAAATTTTTATGTGATCAATAGAGAGAAATTTATTTTGACAAAATATGTTTCACTATTAAAAGGTGAAAAATATTTTTAAAATTAAACTCTCTCCAATGCCTCCACTGCCACATCCACCTCCTCCTCCACCTCCACCTTCACCTCCTCCATCAGTAATACAATCATTAGTACATTAATTTGAATAATGCAACAAATCATAAGAAGATAATTTTTATATAAAAAAAATTATAACGGAAACAAACAGAGTGTTCATTGAGGTTGGGGTGATTAACTAATAGTCTTTTCTTTTCTTTTTTGGGAAAAGAAAATATGTAACATAAGTAATGGATATATTACATTCTTAGTCATTCTCTTGTATCAATTTTTTTTTTTTTTTTTTTTTTTTTTATTTTGATAAGCAAAAGAGAACTTTATTGATGAAGAAAGCAGAACAAGCAAAAACTTACATCAATAAAGAGGGAAGTGCAAAAGCATCACCGCTAGCCTTAACAATCCCAACTAGGTTGGCACCGCTAAGGAAGCAATAACATCTGCTAGCACTTGACCCAAGATTGGCGAGAAACCAATCCAGAGAAAGCACTCTTGTATCAATTTAATTCATATATATTTCTAATTTTGTCAGTTTTACAATTGAATTTGTCATTTTGTATTATTTTAGTTCAATTGATAAATGTCCTTTAAAAAAATTAACTAAAATTAAAAATCAAAATAGTCTGTTTATCAATTTAACTAAATTAACACAATGTCAAAATTAAAACAAAATTAACATAAAGAATAAAGTACATAGACAATAGATTTAATTTGTCCTAAATTAATCATAATTTCTAGCGTATGTATGCAACACCAAGTTTTGTTTGTTAGTTTTTTTATAATTTGAAAAAAAAAAATATAAATCCACCAAATGATTCTGGGCGGTGAAAATGTACCCGGCAACGAAGACGTTTAACGTTATTGTCATTCCAACAGCAATACCTGCCAGCTCTCCTACCTGCATAATTAAAAATTATAATTGAAATTAAAAAAAATGATTAAACGATCATTACCTCACCAATGGTAAAAATTATAGTTGAAATTAAAAAAATGAATAATTTTTGAATATTTCAAACATTTTCCTTTATTTTATGCATCAACTTAAAAAGTGAATGCAGAAAAAAATATAAAAACAATAGATATAGGTATAGATATAGATACCGATCGATTATCAGTAGCAACACCGGAGATGACAAACATGAGAAGGAAAGAGATGATGAATTCCAGGACAAAAGATTGGAGATTAGATCCAGCTGGTACAGTTCCAAAGTAAGCTTCACTTGTTACTTCAAATATTAGAGACAGTGTGCAACTCCCTAATACCGAGCCCATTAATTGTGCTGCTATGTATAATGGCACCTACAAAAATCAATTTATATCAAACCATTTCATTTCATTCCCAACTCAAATATGATCGGCTAATTCATCCTTCTCTCTCTCTACATAGAGTGATAATATATAAATAAAAAATTTACACTTAATTTTCATATATGTGACTTAATAATAATCCTTCACTTTGAAACAAAACTTTTATAAAGAGGACTCAAATTTTTTAACAATGTCACAGCGACATCATTCTTGTAATGTCAAACAGGAATCGGTTTCCTATTTGCAATCCATCAACACTTGCACCCTTCAATTCTTTATTTTCCTACCTCTTACATTTTATTAATTCATTAATTCAAGTCAGCAAAAATGATATAATAAACCAATCAAATTTAACCAAATAGTGAAAGATGTGCACGGAAGGAACAATTGATTTCGATTTGAATTTCAATTGCTGATCAATTGCATTTCGATATGCTTAAATAATAATATAAATACATATATCAATTATCAGAAAACTTACCTCCCACCATGGAAACCGGCGAAAGATGGCAAAAGTGATGGTGACCGCCGGATTGAAATGAGCCCCAGATATGTGACCTACGGAGTAAACCATTACCATCACTATTAGTCCCCATGTTACACATATCCCTGGAAATGTAACTGTGCCGTCGTATAACTTGTTGACAACAACCGATCCACAGCCGATGAAGATCACAAAATACGTACCGATCACCTCTGCAATCACCTTTAAAAAAAAAAAAATGAAAGACAAAGAAACCCTAATTGCAGAATATCCATGCAAATGCATAGTACATTTTTTTAGTGATTTGGTGAGGGAAAAAAAATATAAATATTCGAAAACTGTACTAGGAAAATGGTTCAGAATGCAGATGAAGGGTTGAGATTCAAATGGTGTATTGCGAGATCTATGTATAAATTGAATTTAAATTATATATTAATATTTCTGAATCAAATTGTAAGTAAAGATTCGAGCATGTAGTATTATTGTTTTGTGGTTGACCTTCTGAAACGTGACGACTACTGTGGTTGATGTCCAAAAGCTGTCATCTTTCTTGGAATCTGAGTTGGTGGAAGTGATTGCACCTTTTTCAATCCTTGAGATATCGTTGTCGATCTTTGTTGCCATTGATGATACTGGGAAAGAAGACGGTGGCAATTAACAATGGCGATTTGAAAGATGTTCAACAATCAAAAGAGATCTGCAATGGGAAGGTCATTTTGTTTGGCTAGTGACAAGGCAGTTTGTTATCGAGAGAATAAGTCAAATATGTTTATCTAAATTTTTTAGATCCGCAATACATTGTTTCCTTGTTAGTGATTTTGACTAATGAGTTTTCTTTTTCGGGACAATCCAAAAGATTTCGTACAGTTCGTCCATTTAGAAGAAGTATTAGATGCTGAAAAATGTCAAATAAATAATTAAATGTCTCATATTTAGTAGAAAATTTAGTACTCCTAACATTACTTTTAGATGCGAGTAGGATAATATTATTTGTTAGGGATTATATTAAAGGGTGTAAATTGGCCCAACTCACTCGGGCCGGCCCATGTCTTTCTGCGCAGGCTTCCACCAAAATTTGTGTTGGTTCGGGCGGGCCCAAGAGCCAAAAAATTATGTCTAGGCCCAGGGCGTATTCAAACCGACGGGCCTGAACATTTTTTATTTACTCCCTTCGTCTCAAAATAATAGTCCCTTATGGGGAATTTAACATTTTTTTATAATACAATTATTTTACTTTAAAAAAATTAATTTTTCAAAATTAACCTTTGATAGTATATTTTTTTGAGAAATATCAATTATTATAATTGTGCTTTTTGTATTATTAATGAATTTAAAAGAAAGAGAAAACAGGAAATTTATATTATTTTAATCTTTGATTTTTGAAAATAGACTAATATTTTGGGATAATAAAAAATAGAAAAAGGGACTAATATTTTGGGACGAATGCAGTAATTTTTTTTCTATTTTTTTTACTAAAATTTTATTCTTTTTCATTACAAATGACATTGGATCTCTGCGCGGGCCGCACATTGAGTGAGCTTTGAATGGGTCGATGGGCTAGTCAGGCTCACGGGGTGGGCTGGACTTCAAAATGATGGCTCAGACCACAAGTCCCTGGTCGAACCGGGCTGCGGGCGGATTTCAAGTCGCCCATAAGGTGTAGGCCATTTTTACACCCCTAATTGTTGCATTTGAAAGATAAAAAAATGTCCAACATATTTTAACCATTATAAATTGGCCATTAATCATTTAATCATTGCAGATATTTAAAAATAGGATAAAATATCAATAAATCTCAAAATATGATCTTATAAACTATTTAGTTCTCCATTTTTCTTTATGAACCCAAAGGTCTTATTAAGTGGAAATTACACAAAATGATAGCCACTTACACATTTGGGTTTAATTTTGAAGGATAAAAGTGGGTTTATCCAAATGTGAAATTACATATTTGAGCAATCCGCACTATATAGTATGGGTGCTCGCGGTTCAGTTTTGGACTATTCGGTTTGCGGTTTGGACCCGCTCGCATATGTGCGATTTGGGAAAAATTGAACCCGCAATATCGCCTGCAGTGCGGGTTGTAGTTTGTGATGATAGGGTTTGCGGATGTGTGGACAATTTGCGGATTGGATTGCGGATGTGTGGACAATTTGCGGATTGGACTTTTTTCTTTAAAAATTTATTTCTGGGCCTTTTTTTCCCCATTTTATAAATATTTATTTTGGGCCATTTTTCTCCCATTTTCTAAAAGGCTCAACATTAATAATTAATGAATTAAAACTTATAAAATTAAAAACACAACAAAATCAATTCCTAATACAAGTAAATCATTTAAAATTCTAAACTTTTAAATAAAATTATAAACTAACACAAGCAAATCTTTCAAAATACTAAACTAAATTATCAAAATCATTCACTATCCAACAATACAATTAAAGTAAAATCATTCAAAATATGTAGGATATGATGAATGAAATCAACGGCCTAGGTTTTTTTTTTTATAAAAAAAAAGAAAATGTGCAGGTGGTTCTTGCGGGTGCGAGTAAAACCCATAACTCACCTGCAACTCATAATAATACCATATTTCAAACCGCATCTGCTCGCATTGTGTTTGCAAAATCACCCATTCGTATGTAGATCGATTCAGGTTTAGCGGACTGTATGGTTTGAATAACTCTATGTCGAGCCCTACTATAGAGGTTTTAGATTCTTCATCATTTTAGAACAAATCTTACATTATGAATAAAAATGCAACATTCCAATGTAACATTCTAATAACGTAACATTCTAATGTAACTCACCAAAAAACTCTTTAGTGTACTTTTTCCAAATATAACAAAGTAATACTTCAAAAAAAACTCTTTAGTATATTTTTTTCAAATATAACACTCCAATATAACACCAAAAAAAAAATAGTTTATATTTTTTCAAACGTAACACTTCATTTAATGTAATTTCAAACGTAGCATTCCAATATAGCACACTCCAATATAACACATACAAAAATACTAAAAAACTCCTTAGTATACTTTTTTTCAAACATAATACTCACAGTTTAAAATTATATATTTGCCTAAAGTTTACTAAGGAATTTTTGTACTCATTTTGGAATGGTTTGAAGAATCACATATACGTTTTTTTAGTGTTACATTGGAGTGTTACATTTGAGAAAAGTACACTAAGAATTTTTTTTTTGTGTTATATTAGAATGTTACGCTAAGGAATTTTTTTAGAATGTTATATTTGAAGAAAGTACAATAAGGAAATTTTTTGGAATGTTACAATTTGAAATTATATATTTATCCAAAACTTACTAAGGAGTTTTTTTATTCCTTTTAAATTTGAAGAATCTCATATTCTTTTGAAATGTTTAAAGAATCTCATATTTCAAGTAATTTTTGTACTCATTTTGAAATGTTTTCCAATAAAAAAGATTTTCATATAAAAATTTATCCAAATTTGATTCCCATAGATTATGTATCTTACATTTCTAATACAAAAAATAAAAAAGAAAAAAGAAGAAGGAAATATAATAGAAATAAGGATATAATTGTAAATATAATTTTTAAATAATATATTAAATCTACATTTTTAAAATTTATGGGACTAATTAGTTTATAAAAAAATTATTAAGACTAAACGAATTACCATTTCTCAATATGAAATTTATACAGGAAATGATAGTTTTGGCCACCAAAATATTGGTCGCCAAAAGTCCCATTTTTGGTCACCGAATCTAATTAGCGACTAAATTTTTTTGTCACCAAGTTAGTCGCCTATACCCTGTCGGCAATAGTATTGGGGACTAAACCATTTTTGATCGCCGAAAGTTAAACATTTGGCTACTACACTTTCTGTCATGACCCGAATCCGCCCCCGTGGGTTAAGGACATAACCGGTTAGTAATCATGAGATTACCTACGGCCTGTAACCAAACAAAAAGTATTTTAACAGAGTTGACGGGGGCCAAACGGAAGTAATTTAAAACTTAGTCCATAGAGCTGTGCTTACATGGCACATTATGACAAACCATCCATATGCCTATTAATAACTCACAGCGAAATATGTACTGCATAAAATTCTGTACATATAGGATCATATAAGTCTAAGTCAACCCATCACGACTATATACAATATATGCAAAGTCTTCGCTAACATGACAAAATATAAATACATAACAAAAGGGCGAAGACGGGTCTCGTGCGTGAGACACAAGGCTGACTCTCCTAAAACCTTTGTTGTTCCGCATAGACTTCACTAGGGCTGGGCTTGGACTTCTCTGGGCTCACCTACAAACACATGAATGAGCGTGAGCGATAGCCCAGTGAATAATATCAAATACATAAGTTATACAAACGATATGTAGAACAACATGCATCAAACGGCCTTGGGCCCAATTCATATTTCTATTTAACATATATACACAATTTAGGTCAAGTGACTACGGTTCCAAATAAACTGGCCTTTGGCCCTTTTAAACTTTCATTTGTGTCAAAACGGCCTTTGGCCTATTCAGATGACAAACTGGCCTTTGGCCCATTCATTCGTTCATGTCGAAACGGCCTCTGGCCCATTCGTTCTTGTCAAAATGGCCCCCGATCCATTCTTTCATGTCAAAACGGCCTCTGGCCCATTCATTCATGTCAAAACGGCCTCCGGCCCATTCATTTGGTATAACAAACATTGTCTACCTATCGAATCAATGAACTTATAAAACTTACATAGAAGTAAGCAATTGGACAACAACATATTTCAGATATCTTTGTTAAGATATTACTCATAGTGATCGGTTGGTTGGTTTGCCCTGGAGCTCGACCCTACACATTTCGTGAACACAAAAGGGTCACAAACAATTCAATTCGTTCCAAATTCACATTTTCCTCTTTAGGCTTCATTCTTATCTCTTTAACTCAATTACAATGCTCAATGCATGCCTAAGAGTACTTGGAAGTAAAAGAGAACAGAAAATGAAACACAAAATGCCTTTTCAAAATTTCAGAAAACAGGGTCCCCGCTCGAGCGTATCCTTGAGGCCTGCAAAAGTACTGGATGCATCAAAATTACGCTCGAGCTTGAAGTCTAGCGCTCGAGCGGAAGGCCTCATTACATGGCTTCCCGCTCGAGCGGACACCATGTCTGCAAAAAGTGCTGGATGCATCAAAATTACGCTCGAGCATGAGGTCTGGCGCTCGAGCTGAAGGTTTGTCTAAATAGTTCCGCTCGAGCAGACATCTAAGTCTGCAAAAATACTAGGAGCACGAAATTCACGCTCGAGTGGCAGTTTCTTCGCTCGAGCGGACATCAAATTTCCTGGGTTTTCCAGAACGTGTTCTTGAGCTCCAATTCGACATTCAACCAACATTTCTTGCATGCAATAGCTCAAACTTCAAATACACTTGTAATAACAGGGTATAAACCCCAAATTACAACCCAATGAAGCTCAATTTCACAAATAAATCACATGCATGTCCCAATCTTTCATCAAACTCATTCTAACATAACAAATTCATGCATTCAAGCTCATATTCTCATGAATTGTACATGCATGTGCTATATAACCCTTACTCTTAACTTAGATGATGAAGAGGTGATCAAAACATGAGCTTCAACTACAAACTTACATGGATCATACCCTTTGTGCTCAAACATGCAATATTCAAAGCAATTACAGACATGCATGCATACATCGACCTTCAATTCAACATAATAACTCAATTTCATTTCAATTCTTACTCTTGATTACCCAACTAGCTTGTATACACAAAATTACAACTAGAATCCATGAAATACTCATCTAGGAGCTTTAATTCCCACAATCTATAGCAAATTCTTGAGTAATCTTCAAGGTTTCCAAGCTTTGAGATCAAACTTTAACTCTCTCTCTCTCTCTCTCTCTAGCCGACCCTCACTCTCCTTCCTTAGAGCAATTCGGCTCAAATAAACAAGAAAGAGGAATCGAGTGTGTGTAGTGCCCCTCTTTAAGTCCCACTAGTCACAATTATTTCCATATAAAATATTTGGGCACTAATTCATCAA